TGGATCCGCACCGCATGGCTCAGCGGCAGCAGAAGACCCCCCGTGAAGAGCTGGACGCGCTGCGTTTCCTCTAGGGGCCCGGCGCGGGGTAGGAGCGCCTGGAACCGGTTCTGGTACTCCTCCACGGTGCCTGTGCGCCGGCACTCCGCGAGCTCGAAGAGGGGAGCAGAGCGCAGGGCGGACCAAACTTGGTGGAGAAGGTCTTGAAAACGGCTCCACCGAGGAACGCCTCGTCATCCCAGTAGTGGAGGTACCACGGTGGGCCACGTCCTCAAGATTATCTGAGGCCATCCACACCTTCTCCTCTTCCATGATCCGCTGTTGATGGAAATAAGATTCACAGCGGCTGACGAAGATGAGCGGATCGACCGTACCATCATAGCGCGGGAAATCCATCTTCTGGAACCGCGGAGGGCGATCGTTGTGGTGCTGGCCGTCCATGGCCCCGCCCGGACCTGAGGACGATGAGGACTTGTCCTTGTCCTTCTTCAAGGCCGCGACGTCGGATGCAGGCAGGAGGCGATCGTGTCGGTGAGGCTCGCGATCATCTTGGCGATGTCGGCGTTGGATGGATCCGCCATGGGAGATGTAAGCGAGGCGGTGATGGTGGGGAGTCCGGCATACCGGGAATAGGCGCGACAGAGAGGTGGGCGGCGTGGCGGCGGAGGAAAAGCGGCGGCGGCGGCGGGACGAACGGGATCGGTGTGACCGTGATACAAAGTTGTCAAGGGCCTCGACGCTTGGGGTAGCCGCCCTTAGCTACGGAGGTTGTAGCCATGTCCGTGTGTCGCGCCCGGTGAGGTTTTGCCCCTCCACCGTGAGTTTGGTTAGAGAGGAGAGAGAGATTAGGGATAATGATCTTTCTTAATTTGCAAAGTGCCGGATACAATAATAAATAGCCCATGGCTGGAACTGCCATGCCTACAATTTAGGAAAGCCAACAAACTAATAGGAAAGCCAAATAACTAATTGCTACTTGCTAAACTTAGCCACTAACGGTGGCCTTCCCAGCCGAGAGCTGGGCGCGCTCTGCAGCGCGGCGCACGTCACGCGCACGGCGTCTCACGTACGAGCGCCCCCACATGACAATACATAGAACATGCAACTTTTTCAAGAAAAAATGGTAAAAAGTAGGAGCAATATAGGGAAGAAATACAATGCAATCTATCTGGAAATTTCAGCACCGCCATGTTCCCATTTTCTTTGATAGTCATCACTTGGAGATGATCATCAGAACATCAGAAGAAAATTTTCTTATGTTCCACATCTTTGTTTGCCATACTAACTTAGCTACATGCTAATATTTTTTGCTGCAGTCGTTCTCTAAGCAAAGATTTAATTTTAACATATCCAGCATTGCTGCGGCGTTTGGATGACTCAGTGTGATCATTCCCGTGCTGTTTCGGTCTATGGCCCGAAATGTACACATGTATGAGGCAAAAAGGTTCTCTCTGACCACTAATGCCACTGGGTATCACGTTATCAAGAAAATTTTGATTAGTATGCTTGTTATTACAATAATTATTGAAAGAATACAAAGAAGGGTACCTTTGTCTCACCAGCCTAGCCTGACGGTGAATCCATCTGAAGTGTGTTGCCCAGTTTGCACACACCACGTTGAAGCAAACCGGGCCATGGATCTTTGTCTGATGATATTAATGTTATTAACGGAAAGGAAAATTTTGCCTATGCTACTTCATGCAGTATTGTTATCTGTTCTAGCTATTCACATATCTGATTGTACAACTATCCCTAGTTTTCAGTTCTATTTTTTAGCTATATATAGTGCTAATTTGAATATGAAACTTTGACAATTGCTATATATTCAAGCATCCAGTTATTCAGACTTTTTACAAATCATTGTATTTTTGTATGGATGGTGTAGTTAGAGATAGCTGAGACTTAAGACAATGCATAAAATATATAAAGATGAAACCATGCTTGAAGATATACTTATTTCAGCATGCAAGTATTGGGTTTAACCTACAGTAAAGGCCAGGTGGTTAGATGAGTCATTCATACTCCATCAAATAGTTATTTTTTTAGTTCTCAGAACAACTAAAAATTTAAGATATAAATAATTTAAAAAAATGAATCCAGCTTGCAAGATTGCAGAGTAGTTTTGCCATGCCTAAATGGTAACTTATGACTTATGAGCATCATAAAACTTAATAAACAGATCTCACCTATGATCCAATAAGCAACGTACTCTGCTGTAATTTATAACCCTTATTTATGTTATGAGCTCATTGATTAACTCCTAAATGGGAAGTATTAGTAACATCATTAGATCACTAAAATGGATATGTAATCAGCTTAGCTTTCTCTCCCCAATCGAACAAAGTTGGGAAGTATGGTGTACAGCATAATTGAGGAGGTGCATTTACACCTGAAAAAAGAACGGAAAATAAGATGGTGAGCAGACCATTTCTAGATTGAGGAACGAGACACTATGAGAAGCGGTGCATGGTGCGTGAAGAGACTGTCTGCATCAGCTTCTATAGAACCTCGATGTCCAGCCGCATCCGCTTGGCTGACAGTCACCGTCCCATCAATTGCACTGAAATCACTGAACTCATGTCAATCTTTGTACAACTGATAGAGATGGGGACTATATAGAACAGCAACCAAATATTGAAAGGGAAAATTGAAAGGGAAAAAAGAAGAAGAGAAAAAGACGCATACATTGTGCCCATTTCACCGAACACGTTGAGGACATCATCCACGAAAGCATCGACGCCGGCAATGAGGTCGACAGTAGCCGATAATGGGGAGCACACGGGAGCAAGAGCAGGCACAGAGGCTGGAGATGCAGTTGCTATCGGATTTCAGGGTTTGGTGATCCTTTCCACGTGACGCAGGCGGGATGCGCGAGAAGCCTGCCCTCCAGCACCGAGAGCGGGGGCGTCCGCGGCGCAACGTCCGCGGGAGGAGTCAGCGACTGCTAGACGTGATCGGAGCTTGGTGATGAGGCCGGCAGTGGTGCGGCGGGACTGCTGGAATCGGAGAGGCAGCGGTCATCGAGGTTGGCCCAACTGGAAGGCTAGCGGGAAGAGGTGGTGGACTGGTGGAGGTACGCCTCCATCTCCATCTTGCTGGATAACTGCAGTCCGCCGTCCGCAACAGTCTTTAAGCTCCGCCGCCGCCAGCAGGCGTCGGGAGGCCTTGGTGGCGGCCAGGGGTTGACGGCAGGGGGAGCTGTTGCAGGAGCACGGCATCATGCGGTGGAAGGGATGAGTCGAGGGTTCGCGACTCGCGAGGATATCCAAGAGTCTAGTTTCGTGGCGAGTCGCAGGGGAAGGCGGCGAGCGCGGAGAAGAGTGACGAGCGCGGCGGCTGGCGGCGCATGACGACGAGCGAGTGCGGCAGTCCGAGGCGGAGGGGACGAGTCCTCCGTCCCATTTCTGCACTGCGGGTTGATTTGGAAATAATCTGAGGTGTTTTTTGAAAAATATTATGAGAGGGTCTCTGGAGCGCGGGTTGATTTCCGAAAAATAGAAGGGGTTTTCGTAAAATAACCGCGGATCGCCGATCGAACGGCCGCGAAAATCCCGTGACGTGGCACGCTGGCTGGCCGCGGTTTGGACGCAGGTTTTATACAGATGTGGTCCACAACATTTGCACACAGTACTATCAATATTTTAGAGTATATCAGCACAGTAGTCATTGTTTATTTGTCTTCTTTGAAGAAATATAAATGTTCGCATTATCTCAAGATAACACTGATCAACAAAAAGGGTGGTACGCTCAACAGGAAATTTGTAGTGAATATGAAACACACAAAATCTTTGAAAAACGAAACATTCAACAGGAATTTTGTCAGAATCCAATGAGACAGGATTTTTTTTATGAGCATAGAAAAAATTTATGATTCACCATGCAATGCAAAAGGACAGCGTTAAACCGTGACCCGTAGCGCGCTCTGACCAGGCTTCGTGTCTTCTTCATCCCCCGGCCCTTTTCCTCCTCATGTCCTCGCTCCCTTCCTTCCCACCTCCCCCGCCACCCCCGGCCAGCGGTTGCTGCGCCGTCGGCCACGTCGCCCACCGTCCCCCTGCCCCTCAACCTTGCCCTCTCCTAACCTCGCCGTGACGCGTCGGCGGCGTCTTTGTCCTCGTCCTCGCCCCTACCCCTGCCCCACCACCGGTCGCCGACCGCTCCAGCCTCAACCCGTCCCCGTCCACCCTAATCCCAGGGCAAGGCAACGGCGAGCTCTGCCACAACGCCTCACCGCCGACCCCGCCTAACAGGTTGTCCCCCCGCCGTCTTGCTCGCCGCCCCTCAATCCACCTCCATCACAGTGTCACGCCCGCCGCCCCCAAAAGCTCCTTCTAAGCACACCGGGAACAAATCCCCTAACCCCGCCACCGCCAGAACCCTAATCGGTGGGATGTCGTCGTTGGAGCAGGCGTGGGCGTGGTCTTCTTCCTCGTCTCCAGTGGGACGCGGGCGCGGGAGGGAGAGGGAGAGGGAGAGGGAGAGAAGAGGGAGGGGGAGGGAGCGGGTCGTGTTTTGCCATTGCAAAAGTCGGATGATCCACCGCATGTCACACAGTCAAAGCAGGTCATGTGTCAATACAAGTTGTAAGTTCAAACTAAACCGTGCATGTATAACCACGCCACCGAATGATCCATCGGTCAGGTCTCCCAATCATCTGGTTCATATTTTGAGCTTGTTTTAAAGTCCGATGTCATCTACTAACTTTTTTAGATCATTTAATTACTTGAAACATATCAATGATGCCAGTTTCTAAGCTTGACTTGTGAGAATGTACTACGTGCATAACCAAACACGCTCTCAAGGTCAAGATATAGTATAGTCTGCCACGAAGACTCGGAAACTAGCCACGATGAAAAACCAAGCAGAAAGTAAAAAACCGAGACAAGCAATCAGATCGGATCGTGACGACAAATCTGGTCCACGTGACACAGGGATTAAATGAGACGGATGAAGAAAATTAATAGCTTGAATAGGCACAAGAAGATGACAGACAGATAGCAATGGACCACAGACACTGGAGAAATACTGATGAGTCACCAGGACAGCAAACCAGTGGCTGCTCACTCCGGACAGCGCGGACTGTCGGCTTCCGCATCTCCGTCATGGCATCCTCCGCCGACGAGCAGCTCCCGGCGCTCCTCCTATTCCGCGTAAGGGAAATCGACTTCCACGCCGCGCTGCGGGAGCGGTACCGCGTCCTGGACTTCTTCACGTCGGGCGAGACCCTCCCGGCGTTCCTGGCCGCCGCGGCCGCGGACGCCGACCCGCCCCGCGCGGCGCTCATTGTCGGAGGCGGCAACCCCGCCCGCGTGGACGCCGCGTTCCTCGACGCCGTCCCGTCGCTCCGCTTCGTCTTCAACACGGGCGCCGGGATGGACCACATCGACCTCGCCGAGTGCGCGCGCCGCGGCGTCGCCGTCGCCAACTCCGGCACCGTCTACTCCACCGACGTCGCCGACCACGCCGTCGGCATGCTCCTCGACGTGCTGCGCCGCGTCTCCGCCGCCCAGCGGTTCCTCCGCCGCGGGCTCTGGCCGCTCCAGGGGGACTATCATCCCCTCGGCACCAAGGTGGGCGGCAAGCGTGTCGGCATCATCGGCCTCGGCAACATCGGCATGCTGATCGCGAAGAGGCTCGAAGCCTTCGGCTGTGCCATCTCCTACAACTCCAGAAAACCCAAGGAATCCGTCTCGTACAAGTACTTCGCTACCGTCCACGACCTCGCGTCCGAATCGGACGTGCTCGTCGTGGCGTGCAAGCTGAGCAAGGAGACGCGCCACGTCGTGAACAGGGACGTCCTCGACGCGCTCGGGAAAGACGGGGTCGTCATAAACATCGGCCGAGGATGTAACTGTAATTCCCAGAGGATGTAACTGTAATTCCCAGGCAAAGTGTTTTACTTGAACACGAACAGAGCGTTGTAACACAGCTTATGCTGTTCGTAACGAGAGTACGAGGCCTTGTTTAGATTTTAAGTTTTTTACTCTCTCTCCATCACATCAAATCTTTGGACACATACATAGAGTATTAAATATAGATAAAAAAATAACTAATTACACAGTTTGATTGTAAATTACGAGACGAATCTTTTGAGCCTAGTTAGACCATGATTGGACAATAATTGTCAAATACAAACGAAAATGCTACAGTGCCAAATATTGATTCTCAATCATCATCTAAACAAGGCCCAAGACAGCTACAAAAGTTGAGTGTAGCGGAAGCTGACGATGCAGAATGGCTGAAATATTCGGGAGCAGAGCTGGCTTGAACCGAGTGTGGGCCGGGAGGGGACGCCCGTCGATAGTGTTTCTCTTCTTCTTCTGAACCGGGGACCTCAGTGATGCACGTGAAGCAAGGCGACAACCAAATACAGCAGCCAGCAGCTTTGCGCAATCTTGTCCATATCCATGGCGCCATCACGCACACCGGGCGGCACAGCCTCACAGCCTTGCTATATCTTCTCCTCCTCACCCGTCCGTCTCCAGCACCAAGGGGCCGGCCGGAGCACCGGAGCAGCTAGGGGATACGGCGCCGACGGCAATGGCAGCGACCAGGGCGTCCCCGCTGCTGATCTTGCTGCTCATCATCCAGCTGAACTTGCTCTTCCACCTCCCCGACTCCTCCTCCATCACCGCCCTCGCACAACCACAGCAACAGATCAGCAGCGTCGGCATGCAACATCGCCAGCCTGTGCTGGTGCAGTCGACGTGCAACTCCACGAGCTTCTACGACGTCTGCATCGCCGCGCTCGCCGCCGACCCGTCCAGCTCCACCGCCGACGTCCCGGGCCTCTGCGCTATCGCCGTCTCCGCCGCGGCTGCCAACGCTTCCGGCACCGCGGCGTTCCTCGGCAACGCCAGCGACGCCGCGGCGACCCCCGACGCGGACCGCGCTCTGCTCCGCACCTGCGCCGGCAAGTACGCCGCCGCGCGCGACGCGCTGCTGCAGGCTCGGGCGTCCCTAGCCGAGCAGGCCTACGACTACGCCTTCGTGCACGTCAGCGCCGCCGACGAGTACCCCGCCGTGTGCCGGACGCTGTTCCGGCGCCAGCAGCAGCAGAAGCAGCGGGGAGCGAGGCCGTACCCGCCGGAGCTGCCCAAGAGGGAGGAGGCGCTGCGGAGGCTCTGCACCATCGCACTCGACATCATCTCCCTGCTGCAAAATCAGGAGCCCCAGTAATGTAATTGTCAGTCGGTTAGTGTCGATCTTCATGCATGAGTACGTAGTGAAATGGAGCAATGATCATTGATCAAGCATGCATGTCATGAGTCGTGCTCGTGCAATGCAGTGCCGACACGAATACGACATGAATAGCTGTCCGCGGAATGAAAAAGGTTGCTCTCACAGACTGTTGTTTGCAGACGGGCATTGGCACAATTTGTCTCTACCTCTTGGACTCAACCACCTCCTCCCTCCTCCCTTGGTGCAGCACATCTTTTTCTTTTTACCCGAAAGCACAATGATGCTTTGCTTGCATCATCAGGAAGAAATCACTTGTGAGGATCCAATGAATACCTAAGAATCTCCGGCAAGCATGACTGAGAGAGTAGCTAAAGAACAGATGGAAAGCCATCTCTTCAATGTTGTTATTGCATAAGACAGAATTGTAGTCGGTGCACATCTTGTTTTATATTTTTAGTAGTAATATAAAAACGCCTGTTGCAAGGTAACCAATAAGTCTTGAAATCAGAAGTATTATCACTAGATACAATTTGTTCTTATGATCGTGGATCATGAGTTGAAGCCACGTACAAGACACGAAACATGCGAGGGCATTTTGAGAATAAAGAAAGACACTATCAAAGAATTATTTCATTCTTTAATATTATATATATATATATTACTCTTTTCTTTATCTATATCTATATCTATGCCTATTAATAAAGAGATAAAATTTCAGACCATTTTTTTGTCCATCGTCCCCACACTAACTCGGTGAATGTGAAAATTGTCTTTATTTTGTTTGCATGCTTCCTATTATATATATATATATATATATATATATATATATATATATATATATATATATATATATATATATATATATATATAAGATAGCTAGAAATCCTAATCTATATAATCTGTCCCATCCTAAATCTGAATAGTAATTCTAACCTAAATAGAAAAAGGATGTATCTGTAGTCTGTACACCATACCGTAACGCAAGAGGAATCGTGACGCAGGGGGTACACGACTAAATCTATGCCACAATGAATCAGGTCAAGTTCGAATCAAGATTGAGTCCAAATCAAAAGAAGTACCAAATAAGAACCAAACTAGGACACGTGTTTTTTTCTATTTTTTATTTATCCATGGCCGAACGGCTGCCGATTTTAGTTTCCGTCCAGGTCCTGGTTGGTGTCCAGGTCGTTTCTGTCATATCTTTTTTATGCTCGCTCCATGCTCCAGTTCCCATGCCGATTCTGATTTTATTTTTGTTACTTGCTTCAGATTAGTTTTTGTTAGATTTTTGTATTGTGCACGTTCCCTTGCTTCCGTAACTTTTTCTCATATAAACGTTCAAAAAAACAAATATAATATAATATTTTCTTTGAACGATTGACCATTTGCTAACAAACAAAATAATTTTCATCATCAAATTGTTCATGGTAGTTCTGATTAAGAAAAAAAATATTTTTTATTAAAACTTAGATCAGCCTATAGTCCAACTAATCAAAACCATATATTAAAATTAAAACCCTTTCCTAAGAAATAAAATATTTTGAGTTAAATGCACCATAGATCCATTAACTTATGAGTAAGTTTCAGTCAAATCTATCAACTTTCAAAGTGGCTTTTTGGGTCCATAAATTTTTAAAATAATTTACTACAGTTCATACCTATTTATTTAACCTTAAATTCAAAGCACGTTTGTAGAAAACCTCTTCCCACATGCATGCATGCATGCATGGCTCTCTGCGCACGTGCCCCAGGCGGACGTCGCGCTACTCGAGCAGCAGGATGGGCGAGCGCTGAAGGAAAGCCGAAGCCGCCCGCGCCAGGACAACAAGCTGCTCTGCAGCTGGCACTCATCTCGGACCAGCGCACGCTCGAGCTCGGCAAGGCCTCCAGCGCTCTGCACAGCAAGGAGGGCGTCATGCTGGAGCTCCCGGCGGAGGGACGGATGGACGTGATGGGCCTCCCGGTTACGACCTCCAGCAGGATCACGCCGAAGTCGTAGATGTCGATTTTGTTGCCGTTGGGCACCCTGCAAAAATTGGGTTTTTGATCAGCAGTTGGTTAGTAAGATCCATCATGTCCAGAACAGGCATTATATGTAGCAGCATCCTTTACGTACCTGTCAGATGGATACTTGCTTCCACCTCCCTACATTGACCCATCCAGGGAAATTAAACGACATTAGTTCAGGCCACAGCGAGTGAGATTCATGCATTGTTCAGAGACAGGAATGTGCTTTTATTTACCTCTGATTTGGCGGTCTCGGCGAGGATGGGGATGTTGTAGCTGCCGATCTTGGCGACGAGGTTCTGGTCCAGGAGGATATTGGTGATCTTGAGGTTGTTGGCAAAGAGGCCCGGCATGATGGCCCCGTGCAGGAACTGGATGCCCCTGGCCACGCCGATGTCCACCGAGATCCTCTGCACCCAGGGGAGCTTCCTCCCTTCGGTCCCCTCTGAATGAACGAAACGAACAAGCGTCAGCCAGTCTAGTCAATGAAGATGAGAAGAAGAAGAAGACGATGCGATGGTCTGTGGTGGGCAGTGTGGCACTCACGCGAGATCCTGCTCCTGAGGTTGCCGTTGTGCACGTACTCGAACACGAGGTAGAGCTGCGTGACGGTGGCGTCGTCGAGGTTGTACTCGAAGCAGTGGCCCAGCGCGCTCACCAGGTGCCGGTGCCGCAGCCTGGAGATCATCTCCACGTGCCGGTTGAACGCCGCGGCCTGCGACCCCCGCCGCGCCACCCGCAGCGACCGGATCGTCACCGCCGTGCCGTTGCTGAGCGTGCCGCGGTACATCTGCCCGTGCGCGTCCTGCCCCATCAGCCACGACACCTCGAAGTTGTTGGTGACCGCCTCCAGCTCCACCAGCGAGAAGCTCCGGTACGCCGGGATGCCCAGCACGCCCTGCAGCTTCACCGTCTGCGAGATGTACCGCGCGTCGGCGAACAGCTGCGACGGGTACGCGCCGCTGATGGACATGGACATGGACGACGCGGCGTGCTCCACTAGCCGCCGCGGGGGACGGGCCTTGGCGCGCCGCCGACGCCGCCTTCCGCTGGGCGCGAGGAACGCGCCACGCCGCCGAACAACGCGGGCGGCGAAGCGGCGCCGCCACGGCGCCGCCACGACCCCGCCTTCGCTTTTGCCCTTTGCCGCCGCCGCCAAGGCGATGGGACGGGCACGATGCCCACAACCGGCGCTACCGTTCTCGCGTATCAGGTCGGTGTCTGCGTGCCGCATGACGGGACGTGGCGGATGAGCGATTGGACGCCGCCAAGAGCGTCACCTTGCCGGAGGAGGAGGATGTTAGGATTGATCTCCCACCACGCCTAACTGGGCCTTGTCCTCGCGCCCTGATCGGGGGCGCCCAACCCTACATGGTTGGTGGGCCCCCGTCGCACAGCGCTATAAAGGAAAGGTGGGGGCCGGGGCTCGCAGGACGAGGTTCACCGCGCCGCCAGTCACCCCACCGACATCCTAACCCTAGACCCGATCTTGAGAAGGGCGCCGCCGACGGAAGCACCACCGACGCAAGCAACGCCACCCGACGCCAAGACGCCGCCACCGAGGATGTCATGTCGCCGACTCCTCTCCACCGACCACATCACTGCCGGTAGCAGATGGCGTCAAATCAACGAAACCCCGTCAAGCTTCGATAACTACGGCATTTGACGGTTTGCAACCTATCACCCCTTCCTCTCTGTCTCTCTGTGATCCCGAACATCTATTACTACTATGCTAAGTATCCCGATCTGATGAATACACTCAAATTGAAACCTAACAATGGTATCGAGCCGAGGTTCGACAAGAAATCAGATCGGGAAGTGAATCCGACCGATCCGATGCGGATCGGGAAAGAAAATAGAAAATCGAACCCTAACCCTAATCCCAGTTTTTCCATTAGGATGAACAAAAGAAAGAAATAAAAGCAAAAGAAAACGAATCGGCAAGAACAAACCCTAACCCGAATCGGCAAGAACAAACCCTAAACCTAACCTAGTTTTTCCCCATTCGGATAAACCCGAAAAGAACAACTCAAAGAAAGAAAGGGAAAGTAGGGGTAGGGTTAGGAGTGCGTCAGATGAACTTTCACCGTAGCTTGAAGAAGAAGAGCCGAACCGGTTTTTTCGCGCATGAGGAGAAGAAACCGAGCCGGGGCGCGGGCTCGCGGGCTCGGGCTCGGGCAAGGAAGCCAGCAGCGGTTAAAGCCGACGGCGGCGCGTGCTCACCGTTAGAGCACGCGCAGCGCGGCGAGGGGGCCGGCGACGGCGCAAAGGACCGTTCGCTCGTCGGTTTTTCACTCTCGGTTGCGGTTCGCTGCTGCGGCTGAAAAGAGATGAGAGAGAGCGGCGAAGAAGAGAGAGAAAAGGAAGGGCCGAATGACTAGGGTTTCTGGCCGCGGCGAGGTTTTTGATCCGCGCGAAACGGCCGCTCGGCCGTCGGATCGAGACGAACGGCCGAGATTCGCTGGGCCAACTCGCTGGCCCAAAGTAGTAAGATATGAAGGGCACAAGCTTGCGCCTTTGTTGCCCAAAGTTGCGGCCTGGTGCGGCTGCGCTTGTATGAAAGCAAGCCGGAAAAGCAGTTTCAAATAAGCGTCTTGGGCCGCGCTGGGCTAAAAATGAAAGAAGAAGAAAATTTTTCTTATTATTTTCCAGGAGCAATTTTAAATACATATTTTGATGAATTTGAATGATTTTGATACAATTTTCTGTGCAAATTTTATCCAACGATATTTTGCTCAGAAAGCAATGAATTTTTTAGTGCTTCTGGAAAATAATAATATGAAAAGATTAGTAATGTTTCCGCTGTGCATGATAATTATTGTTCTCTTTGATTAAATTTGAACCAACAGGAAAATTTAATTTTAAGAGAAATGAATTTCTGATAATTTTGATGCGATTATAATATTGTTATTTTCTGACCAACGTTGTTAATAACAATATTATAATTTTTGATCCATGAGAAATTGTGCATTAATTTTACTTCTGCCCAA